GAGTAGGGAAGGTATGGCCTTCCATCTTTTTTGGGCACCAAGAGGAATGACCCACAGCACGGCCTTTCAGGATTCTATTCTGAAGAGATTTAGCTGTTTGTTCTGGAAGATGTTTGGATTTTTGAGGAATATTCAATATGCTCAATTCCAAGACAATAAAAATATCAATAGATTAATTTTTTATCATGTTTTATCTGTCTTCCTACATACATCCTACAGGTTTTAGTATCCATACTCACTTTTACAGTAACTTCTTTTTTTTTTTTTTTTTTTAAAGATTTATTTTTATTATTTTTTATTGGAAAGGCGGATATACAGAGAGGAGAGACAGAGAGGAAGATCTTCCGTCCGATGATTCACTCCCCAAGTGAGCCGCAACGGGTCGATACTATGCCGATCCGAAGCCAGGAGCCTCTTCTGGGTCTCCCACGCGGGTGCAGGTTCCCAAAGCTTTGGGCCGTCCTCGACTGCTCTCCCAGGCCACAGGCAGGGAGCTGGAAGGGAAGCGGGGCTGCCGGGATTAGAACCGGCGCCCATATGGGATCCCAGGCGTGCTAGGCGAGGACTTAACCACTTGCGCCACCGCGCCGGGCCCACAGTAACTTCTTTTTACAGAAGAAATGCTTACACCATGGAAAACAATATCTATAATTCTATGAAGTAAAACTATGCTTACCCATCTCATTATCACCCTCAACAGATATTGAATAAAAAGGGCAGGGCACTGGGTCATACAGATAAATGTATGAAATATATCTATCTATATCTGTAGATATTCATATGTTCCTTGTTATATGCCTCCTTTTAAACTACTTCATGTTAGCCCTTGAGATCTAAACTAAGTTGGAAAAACCTAGGGTTTGTTGTGCTAGCACTGGTTTTGGGACTGAGTTTGCTTTAGCTCAGGGCCTCTTATGGAAGCTCTTTCCAAGGGCCATGAACGGCCCTAGCAGTGTATGCACAGAGTCAACTGTTTCTGTGAAGGTTTTCTTTTAAATTTTAACCTTATTTTTTAAAATATTGGGGCCCAATGTAGTACCCTAGCAGCGAAAGTCTTTGCCTTGTATGTGCCAGGATCCTATGTGGGTGCTGGTTCACGTCCCAGTGGTCTAGCTTTCCATCCAGCTCCCTGCTTGCAGCTGGGAAGGCAGTCAAGGATGGCCCAAAGCCCTGGGACCCTGCCCCTGCGTGGGAGACCTGGAGAAGGCTCCTGAACCTGGCCTTGGATCAGCTCACAATGGAGCCATGACTCCAGCCCAAGCATGGGCACTCTGATATAGGACACGGGCTTCCCAAGCAGCATCTTAACTAACCGACACATCAAGTGCCTGTCCCCTGTGTTACTGTTTTAAAAGTTAGCTGTTTTAGGGGTTGGCATGGTGGCTTAACAAGCTAATCCTCCACTTGCAAGTGCCAGCATCCCATAAAGACTCTGGTTTGTGTCCGGGCTACTTCCCACATAGCTCTTTGCTTATGGCCCGGGAAAGCATCAGAGGATGGCCCAAGGCCTTGAGACCCTGCACCCATGTGGGAGACCCAAAGAAGCTCCTAGTTCCTGGCTCAACTGTGGCTGTTGTGGCCATTTGCGGAGTGAACCAGCAGATGGAGGATCTTCATCTGTCTCTCCTATTCTCTGTTAATCTGCCTTTCCATAATAGTAGCAAAAAGAGTTAGCTGTTGTGCCTGGTATGGAAGCCTAGCGACTAAAGTCTTCTCCTTGAACGCGCTGGGATCCCATATGGATGCTGGTTCTAATCCTGGCGCCCCACTTCCCATCCAGCTCCCTGCTTGTGGCCTGGGAAAGCAGTCGAGGAAGGCCCAAAGCCTTGGGACCCTATACCCGCATGGGAGACCCAGAAGAGGCTCCTGGCTCCTGGCTTCAGGTCAGCACAGCACCAGCCATTGCAGTCACTTGGGGAGTGAATCATCAGACAGAAGAGCGTCCTCTCTGTCCTTTCTGTATATCTGACTTTCCAATAAATAAAAATAAACAAATCTTTTTAAAAAAAATCTTAGAAGAGTTTGTTTCAGAATGCTGTGTGTTTCTCCCTTCTGTACATTAGGAGTTGTTGGAATGGCAATAGACATTGGAGAATCCAGCTAGGGCAGCGATGGTTGCATAAGGGACACATTTAGCTTGGATTTAAGGGCATGCATTTAAGTGGTTTGAGGTCACTTCCGTGTACTGTTCAATTATTGCTCACTGTGGGTGTGGGAATGGCTTTCTGGGATACACTTACTGCCCATTATGCCAAAGTAGCCAGCACCGTGTCACAACAGTGCAGGGCCAGAGGGCAGGAGCTCTGTGCTGTCTGGCACAGGAAGTATGTGGGTAGTAGACAAGAACTAAGGTTAGAAAGAAAAGGAGAAGCTGGCTATAGAACGTCTTTCCAAACACCAGAAGGGGAAATTTATAAGCAGAGGAATTGATTCTTTCAACGCTTAATTAGATGGGAGTTTCTCACTCATAAAAAAATATGAAACTGGCATCCATTCAATCATAGAGGTAGTATATTTTTTTATGTGAGCTATGTGAATAGGGAAGTTAGAAGTTCTGTTTATAGGACATAAACTTGTAATTTTACTACAGTTGATCTGTTTATATGCAACAATATGTGCTTCATTTATCTTAATAAATCAGATTGTTAGAATATAACAGATAAATCTTTTAAAAAAATTATTTTTATTGTAAAGTCAGATATACAGAGAGGAGGAGGAGACAGAGAGGAAGCTCTTCTGTCCGATGATTCATTCCCCAAGAGACTGCAATGGCCGGTGCTGTGCTGACCTGAAGCCAGGAGCCAGGAGTCTCTTCTGGGTCTCCCATGCGGATATAGGGTCCCAAGGCTTTGGGCCATCCTGGATTGCTTTCCCAGGCCACAAGCAGGGAGCTATGGGAAGCAGGACTGCCAGGATTAGAACCAGCACCCATATGGGATCCCAGCGCATTCAAGGAGAAGACTTTAGCCACTAGGCTACCGTACTGGGCCCAGCAGATAAATCTTAAACTGAATAATCTCTCTCAGACACCAGTAACAAACAAATAAACAAAAAAACCCCACACATAATGGGCAAATACTGTGGTGTAGTGGTTAAGTCACTGTTTGGTATAGTTATTCTTATATAGGAGTCCTAAAATGGAGTACCATCTCCAATTTTAATCCAGCTTCTTGCTAACATGTACCCTGGGAAGCAGAAGGTGATGGCTTAAGTACTAGGGTCCCTGTCACCCACATGGGAGAACTGCTCCTAACCCTAGCTTTGGCCTGACCCAGCCATAGTTTTGGGGGCATTTGTGGGGTGAACCAGCAATGGACAAGCATGATTTTCTCTTTCTATCTCTCCCCATGTCTCTGTTGGTCTCCTTCCAAAGAAATAAAAGTAAGCTTAAACACACACTTGCCAAGGAACAGCCAAAGAGCTCTAAAACCGTAAAGCTTTTTTGTACGAGGAAAGTTTGATAGAGATCTTCCCAAACTTGACAGTTCACTCTAAAAACTAAGAAGAAATATCAGTTATGACTTGTGAAACTGAGAGAAATGTGCAAATAATTTTTCAGTATTTTATTCATTTTTGAGAAACAGTTTTAATTTAATGAAAGGTTTAATGCTGCTATTAAAGAGTGCAGTAAAGATAGAAAAAGACCAGGTCCAGCAGCAAAATAGGCAATGGCTGCATACAAAAATAAAGGGAGAGAGGTTCAACTTTACTCATGTAAATTTTAATATAGTCACAGAATCATGAAAACTATAGTAGTAAACAATTCCTAACAATGTTGGGCAAAGATTTAAAATCAAGCTTGACAAAACACTGTGCTTGCAATAAAACTGACTTACATGACCATTAAAAAAAAAAAAAGAAATGAGCTCCCATATAAAGAAACAATTATCAATACAAACAAATGTAATCAATTGTGCCATAGAAAAAAAAGCCGATTTATCACATTTCTTTATAGAAAATGTTATGAAGTAATTGCCATAGGAAAAGTGATGAAAAGTATGCAGCCAAAACACATAAAGAAAAGATCCTATTCAGTCAGTGCCCCTAGAATCTAATTCACAGCCAAGGGAATATGTGTCTTGTTCCTGGGTTATCCTACAGCAACTTACCAGGCAGTGAACAAATATTACAGCATGTTGGTGTTGGGTGTGGCGGTTCAATGAAGGGTGGGGGCTTCCTTCTCATGGAGGGTGCTTTCCTTAGGCCAGGCCCTGGGGGCGGCAGTGCAGGTCAGTGATTGGGTTCCTACTGCCCACGTGGGGGTCCTGGATAGACATCAGCTCCCAGTGGACACCGGGCCCAGTCCCAGACTTTGCTGGAATTTTAGAACAAACCAGTGGATGGGAGCTCCTTTTCTCTTTCTGCTTCTCAACTTAGGGGGAAAAAAAGGTGGGGTGGGGTGGTCTTTGTGTGTATGTGTTTTAGTTTAACAGGTTATTTATGACTTTTAAGTATGTAAGGAATTTTTTTTTTATCCATCTCATACTTTTTTCCTCCTTTAAAGAGTCCCCTTAACTCTATGAGCTTCAGTTCCTGCAAAGCCACCATCTTTCTGTCTGCAACAGGCTGGGAAAGCGAAATGAATCCTCAGCTCAGGTCTGGCATTTTCTGCAAGGGAGACCAAACCAAACCATGCTGGGCAAAAGGGCTCTGCCCCACACACAACTTAGCACAGCGGTGAAGACGGCCTGCTGGACCCGGCCGGGCCCACCCTGCACCGGGTAGACCCGAGGCAGCCGCGGGCTGACCGGGACGACCCGAGTGGTGGCGGAGAACTGGGGTCGAGAACACACTGTGAGGAGACCAGAGCGGGGGAAGGCCGGTCTAGCACAGCGTTCGCGAAGGGGGCGTGGCCGGTGGCCAGAAGGGGGTGTGGCCGGGCTTCCCGGAGGGGGCGGGGTCCCAGGCTCCAGCCCCGCTCTGGAGCTCCGGGGCCGCCTCAGCAGCGGAAGTTCCGGTGTCGGTAAGCGGAGGTTGGAGGTCAGCAGGAAGTCGATACGTGGCCGCCGCCTGTCCCCGCGGAGGAGGCGCAGCAGCCGGAGATGGCGGCGGTGCTGAACGCCGAGAGACTCGAGGTGTCCGTCGACGGCCTCACGTTGAGCCCAGATCCGGAGGAGCGGCCCGGCGCGGAGGGCGCTCCGCTGCTGCCTCCGCCGCTGCCGCCGCCGCCTGCGGGGTCTGGCCGGGTGCCGGGCGCCGGCGGAGAGCAGCCCGGGGAGCCCGGGGAGGCGGCGGCTGGGGGCGCGGCGGAGGAGGCGCGGCGGCTGGAGCAGCGCTGGGGCTTCGGCCTGGAGGAGCTGCACGGCCTGGCGCTGCGCTTCTTCCGAGGTGAGCCGGCCGGCGCCGCGCTGGGCCGCCGTCCTTGGCGGGGTCCGCGAAGTTTGTCACTGCGAGCTCGCTGACTGGGTCACACCCTTTGCGGGACCGTCCGCGTCCTGCCCTCCCGAGGTGACCAGGGCGTGGGGGACTAGCCTAGCGTCCATGGTGTCCAGTGGCCAGGTCCCCAGCCCCGACGAGCCCATTCTGGATTTGGGCTTGCCTTTTTTTTTTTTTTTAATAACTGATACTTTTCTGTATTCCATGGTGGCTACATCAGATTGCACCGATTTCTCTGCTTTTCTTTGAGCGGAAGAAATCCGTGGGTCCCCACACATAGCTTCCCAGGCACCCCCGGGTAGGAGCTGGTCGCCTGTCAGTACTGATGTGGCAAGGCTGGAAGTCGAGTCAGCTCTGTTGCTCCCTCTGGCTGGTCAGGCTGCGCTGAGCGGAAGGTCCGCTACCTTCTAGTAACTTGGCGGCGGCATGGAAGAGTGCATTCTGTGCTTTTCGGGTAATGAGTCGTTCGTTGTCTCCTGTCTTGGAGCAGGGCTGTGGTGTGTGATGTCTTGGCGTTTATTTCACTGGGTGCAATGGTGGCGGTAGCAGTCACATGCTGTTAGTGGGAAAGACTACTGAGAGGGCTGTGGGTTTGACTCTGAAAGATGTTGCCCTCTTGGTGGGGGAGGGTCAGGGAGCTAGACATCTGCACAGGAAACTTTAAAAGGGGTTGCTAGGTTCCACATACATTCCAGAACCGCTTATTCATGACACCTTCCCCCCAGAGGGAGTGCCTTTTGGAGTCCATATTTTATTAACTGAAGTTGAATAGTTCAGTGTAATGATATAGGCTAGGTTTTTTTTTTCTTTCAGAATGATTGATTGATTGTTAAAATTTTCCAGAACATTCAAATATTCTACATTCTTTCTTGTTATAAAGTTTATCCTTGAACGATTCCTTTTCGTTGCACAGTAAGTTCAGCCCTCAGTGTATTTGCTAGCTTCAGAAATTGGTAGTGGCTTGGTTTTGAATTCACTTGATCTTTGGCTGCCATTTATTTGCTTATCTGGCTGCAGTTTGTTTATTTGAAAGGCAGTCACAGAGAAAGACAGAGATCTTCATCCTCTGGTCTGTTCTCCAAATGGCCGCAGTGGCCACAGCTAGGGCCGTATGAAGCTAGGAGCCAGGAGCTTTCTGCAGGTCTTCCATGTGGGTGCAAGTGCCCAAGCATTTAGGCCAAACTCTGCTGTGTTCCCCCGGTACAGTATCCGGTAGCTGGATCAGAAGTGGAGCTACCAGAACTCAAAGTGGTGCTCACAGGGGATGCTGACACTGGAGGTGGACTGGCTCCCTGGCTGGAATTGAGTTTGTTGTAGTAATGACTATATTCCTACTAGTATAAAAATGTAGTCGTTTCTGCACAATTCATATATATTCTACCTTCCCTTTTTATTCTTGGATCTTACTTTTAAAGGTTTAGTTACCTGTTAGCAGAGATTGGGAATCTAAAAATACCAAGTTAACATTCTTCACTTTTGTCATGACTAACAGAAATGAGTAATTTCATTTTCTGACCTTGCTTGTTTGAAGGTACTTATATATTCTTTGAAAGATTAGAACATTGAATAAGGTGCAGTAAGCATCACATCGCTGTGAGATTCAGGAAGCTTGGTTCTGGTTACCACATCAACTCCTAGATGGTTAACTTTTCCCAGCTAGTTTCACATGTACATTTAGAGCTGGATTAAAAAAAATTTGATATCTCAGATTTCAGATTCAGTGACTTTAACCATGAGATTATTTGAACATGTTTGTGTTCATTATTTAAATCATCTGATGAGTGGCAAGAATTTTAGCAAACCCATAATTTGGGGGCCAATTATCAGTCACAGTCACCTTAGAGAAAAAGCTACACTGAAGGATATGATTCGCTCACTTGTTAAATTCAACACTCAGAGCCACATCCAAGTGGTTTAGAAGGAGGAATAGCTGTTTGGCAACTAAAACCTGCCTTTCTGCATGGATCATTGCATCCGAGAGCAGTGAAGAGACGGCTAGCTCCCGGGATGCTAACCGGAAGGATGTGAAGACAGACTAATGATGGAAGGGAGAGTGAGCCAAGTAATGCAGACTTTATTTTAATGTGTGACATCTTGAGAATTCCTGGCATTTTTTATCAGTCTTAATGAGGGCTTCTAATAGATCATTACATTATGAGTTTTGCATTAGAATGTCAAGAATTAAGAAAAATACATTTTATGAAATCATTGTGGAATAAGAATTTTGAAAGCTTTTTTTTCTTGAATAGTTTGGATTGGCAATCAGGAATCAGGTTTTTTGTTCCTTCCTTGATTACGGTTGTCCTATGCCAGTGACTAGACACATTATGTCAACTACCTACTCTTGGTTTTCTAAAGGCAAAGCAAAACAATATAAGAAAATAAAGGGTATCTCAGAAAAGTTCATGGAAATATAAAGTTGAAAGTTGAAAGATAAGTTCAGGACCCGGCAGCATGGCCTAGCTGCTAAAGTCCATGCCTTGAACTCGCCGGGATCCCATATGGGTGCTGGTTCTAATCCCGGCAGCTCCATTTCCCATCCAGCTCCCTGCTTGTGGCCTGGGAAAGCCGTCGAGGACGGCCCAAAGTTTTGGAACTTTGCACCGTGTGGGAGACCTGGAAGAAGTTCCTGGCTCCTGGCTTTGGATTAGTACAGCACCAGCCGTTGCAGTCACTTGGGGAGTAATCATCAGACGGAAGATCTTCCCCATTGTCTTTTCTCCTCTCTGTATATCTGACTTTCCAATGAAAATAAAATAAATCTTTTTTTTTAAAAAAAAAAAAGATAAGTTCATTATGGAGCAGAAAAACTTGAAATATGTGCAGCTTTTTCATATGCTTAGATTTTTGAAGACTTGTATTGATTTCAGGATTGTGTGGGTATGTATGTGTGAGCTTACAGCAAAATAAACATTTGTCAATTCCATTCTCTACATATGAGGAAATGTAAGTTAGTGATTTTCCTTCTAAATTTTAAACATTATTGAATTTTTAAAAATTTTTTTATAAAGATTTTGTTTGTTTAAAAGAAAAAGAAAAAGATCAGTCTTCTATCTGCTGGGTCAGGTTGAAGCCAGGAGCCATGAGCTTCATCTTGGTTTCTGCATGAACACACAGGCCAAGCCTTTGGGTGATGATCTGCTGGTTTCCCAGGCACGTTAGCAGGTAGCTGGATTAGAAATGGAACAGCTGGGACTCAAACTGGCACCTATATGGGGTGCTGGTGTCCCAGGTGGTGCATTAAGTAGTTGTGCTACAATGTTGGCCCCTGTTGAATTCTTATTTTGGAAAAAATTTCCATGTTGGGTTACCACTATGATGTTATTTGTTGTTGCTCTTATGGAGCTTGTAGTGCAGAGGAGGAGTCAGGCTCAGTGACAGCTGCAGTGTGAAGGACTGAGGGAGCACATAGCATTCTAGAAGGTCAGCATGTGTGTCAGCAGTAGACAGCTTGGTGCGTAGAGGTGGAAAGGTGAGCTGGATTCTCATCCTGGGAGAATGGGAATGTCATTGTAAATAGTTTCGCCGTTATGTGAGGTTAAGATAGGGTACCTTGGAAGGCGTTTAAATGAAGGAACAAAGTTCTTCATTCTGTTAACACAATTAAAGTGGATAGTCTTACCTTTTGGGTTAGGGGCCAAGAGAGCTCACTTCACTATATAACCTTAACACTTCTTGGGTGGAGTTAACCTGGGGAATTGTATTTTGGTTTTTAAGAGTTCTTTGGATAGGTTTTTCCTTTTCTAGTACTTTATCACCTCATTAAATTAAGATGGTAAATTGTTTGCATCAGTTGCTCTTATTTTTATTTATTTTTAAATTTTAGTATTGCATCGGTTGTTTTTAAAGATTTGTTTATGGAAGGAACTCCGTTTTGGGTCTTGCATGTGGGTGACAGGGGCCCAAGTATTTGGGCCTTGCTGCTGCTTTCCTAGATGTGTTAGGAAGGAGCTGGATCAGAGGTGGATCAGCCAGGACTATAACTAATGTCCGTATGGGATGTTGGTATCGCAGATGGCATCAGCTCACTATATGACAGCACAGAACATTAATTTAAAGTTCCCGATTAATGATTGCCAATAATTATGAAGCAGATACTCAGTAAATGCCTTTCATTCTTCTGAAGGCTGTATATACACTGTTTTCTTAGTCCTCTAAGCCCTTCTGTGAGGCTGTTATCCCCATTTCTCATTTGAAGAACCTGCTCTGGGCCTGGCGTGATAGTGTAGTGGTTAGAGTCTTCACCTTGAACATGCCAGGTTTCCATATGGACGCCAGTTCTAGTCCTGGCCGCCCTGCTTCCCATCCAGCTCCCTGCCTGCGGCCTGTGAGTGCAGTCAAGGAAAGCTCAGGGCTTTGGGACCCTGCACCGGCGTGGGTAACCTGGAGGAGGCTCATGGCTCCTGACTTTGGATAGGCTCAGCTTCAGCTGTTGCGCCGCTTGGGGAGTGAATGAACGGATGAAAGATCTTCCTCTCTGTCTCTCCTCCTCTCTGTACATTTGCCTTTCCAATAAAAATAAAAAAATCTAAAAAAAAAAAAAACCTGCCCTAGGAGTAAGTGGTGTGATTGGTTCTCAGATTGATTACAAGGACTTCTGATTAATGGAGGTGAAAAGTGATGTTCAAACTTCTCTCCAGCTGTGTTATGGCATTTGGGAATTTCTTTAATATATTTGCTTGAAAAAAATTGAGGGCTGACGAAAAGATGAAGCTATTTTTCTAAGTATGATCTTTTTATGGAACGTCCCAGATATCTGTAAAAATAAAGTGTGGGGAAACTGTCTACTCTGAGTGGTAGGAGTGAGTGCTCAGTGTTGGCTGAATTGGCCGTTACTTCCAGGCGTTGTCAGTAGACAGGTATTGGAGGTGGGAGGGAGTGGTTTTGAGGGTGTTCTGTGTGAAGGGAAACTCGGACTGGTGGTGTGGTGCATTTAGTTGAGCCGCCGCTTG